TTCAGGGACTCTGTAGCCTCACAGCAGGGAAGTTTTTTGTTTTTGTTTCCCAAATGTCTGTCTTCGGAAAGTATTCATGAAAGCCTCTTCCTGCCGGCTCATCGGTCAATCGGGCAGCATGCTGACACAACAACACACATTTACATTGATAAGGACACATGGGGAGTAAAAAAGAAAAAAACAAATATTGGCTACCACTTTACATTAATAATTCACATGATCAAGTTAGACGGCCCGGTGATCAACTGGTTAGCACGTCGGCCTGACGGTGCAGAGGTACAGGGTTTTCATGTTCTCCCCGTGCCTGCGTGGGTTTTCCCCGGGTATTCCGGTTTCTTCCAACTTTCCAAAAACATGCATGGCAGGTTAATGGAACATTCTAAATTGTTCCTAGGTGTGAATGTGAGTGCAGAAGGTTGTTCGTCTGTGCGTGCCCTGCGATTGGCTGGCAACCAGCTCAGGGTGTCCCCTGCCTAATACCCGATGACGGTTGGGATAGGCTCCAGCACGCCCCACGACCCTTGTGAGGATAAGCAAATCAGAAAATGGATGGATGATCACGTTATTCATTATTGTGTCAACACAGCCACACTTTGAAAGAGTAATTCATGCCTTCATTTCACTTTGGCTGGATTACTGTAATGTGCTTTACGTTGGACTCAGCCAGTCCTCCTCAAATGTCTCCAGCTGGTTCATAATGCTGCTGCTCAACTTTCATCTGGAACACTAGAAGCCGACATCAGACTACACAAATGTAACCTGATTTTGACGTGCCGCAGACAAACGTAGTGACTCGCAACCAGTTTTGAGATGTCGTCATAGACATGGTAGTGACATAGTCAACGATTGGTCGTAAGGCATTTGAGACGCTTCACCACCAAGACGACAAAAGTCTGGCATCTCTAAATTTTTGTTTGTCCTGCCACATAGTATGACATGTGCGACGTCATCATTCAATCGGTTCTTCGGCATTGACCAATCGGAAGACAAAACCCACCTACTTATGACGTGAGACTGGATGTGGCACAACTGGGCAGGGTTTGTTCGGTGACGGACTTGTAGTGTGACATCTCGCCCGGTTTCAAGACATAGAATGATGAATGACAGTCATGTAGTGAGGTGGATGGATTTATGATCAATATTTGAGAGAAATAGGCCTGTAGTGTATGTAGAATAAGTTTTCAATGTGTACATTTATTTTGTGAAAAATAGGAGCCAAAACAAGGGTTGCCATTTTTGTTCAGGTTAAGTAAAAGTTAATTCTATTCATATTGCACTCTTCACAGAGAGAACCCACAAAGAGCTTCACATAGTGAGCTTCACATATACACTGATAAAGTGTATGAAGTATAAAAACAACAATTTACAATTAAGATAAGATAAGATATCCTTTATTTGTCCCACACTGAGGAAATTTACAGTCTACAGCAGCAAATTTGGGGGGTAAAAAGAATGTAATACATGTAATACATGACAAAAAGGAAATACATTCAATGAACACATTTAATTAAACTAGGTCGTAGTGATTTACTGTGATGTATGAATTCACAATACGTTCACCATACAACAACTATTTAATTTCTTTGGCATTTCTGATTGTAAAGTGTCCTTGGGTGTTTTGAAAGGCGCTTGTAAATAAAATGTATTATTATTGTTATTATTAAGTCTCGGATGACAATGACATTTCTGAGGGGAATTACACTGTGTAGCTGTGTACAAAAAATATTTCATGCATCATCTAAATGAACTAAATACAGCACTTTTTGGAACAATAATTAGTGGCGAGGTCTTAACTATGTAACACCGACCCAGTTGAAGGATGGCATCAATGTGAGGTGAATGCCGCATTCATCATATGACTTTAATTCCAGCAGATGGTGCCAAAGTTGAAATGGTGTCTTTGACAGCATCAGGAGCAGTGGTCAGTATTCGTTTGTCTCAATATCTCGAATCAGTAAGGACTCCGTAATCACGATTTAAAAAAGCTCAACTTGAACTAAACTTGTTTTTCCAACCCGTCTATAATTATATCATTAAGTTTTGATCGAACAAGATAGAATCATAAGGGCATTTTGCGGCTGAACGTAAGCCTGTAATGTGTACATGCTCCTAAAGAGGGTGCTGTAGTACTCAGGAGAAGCGCCCGTGGAACGTCACATGGAAAGCGGAAGTTGACAACGTGGAACTTTCTAATTTGTACCATCGAATTGATTTCTACAAGAAGTTATTGATATCTAAAAAGCTCATGAACATGATTTATTCCCTCTCATCTCTCAACTGGGAAATGTTTTTGTGAACAAAAGAAATAGTTTCCAACGGCATGTTTTCCTCCTGTAAGGTTTTTCTCCTGCAATCAAAAAACTGTGTAATAATAACAAAAATACATTATTTTAATTATTTTAACTACATGAAATTGTGTCTTATTACGCTGCAGAAAGTTTTTTTTTTTTTTTTGTCCTACCACATAGCCCCTTAAATTCGCCAAATAAGGAATAGCTCGGATAAGGTGGGAATCAGTGAATGCCTCAATCAAACTGTGGCGGGGCTCTCGTCAAGCAGCCGGAGTCTTAAGATATATTAAATTACCATGATTGGGACTTAAAGGCTGTTTGAGAGGCTGGGGAGCGTCAAAGCGTGGTTATTCATGTTTGGGGAGCTGGGTCAATAGGTTGGGGAAGTTCACAGGACCTGATGGCATTCTTATGCAAATGAAGAATACAGGAGCTGAAGCTCAGTGAGTTGGAAGATATAAATGACCGCGCAATCATCTGCGGTCTTGCACACACACAAACGTGCTGCCCGCTCGCCACTGCAGCTCAGTTTGTCGCTTCCTATACTGTACAATATTGGTTACATACTTGTGGACTTGATGCACATCAAAAAATCTTGTTTGCCGCATGGAAAATGACATATTTACTTTGCATAATCATGTTATTGTCTAACTAATGGGATGCCGTGCTAAGAACCTAATTAATACTGTAGCAAAGGGATGGGCAATTTCAACAATGGAGGGGGCCACAATTTTTCAGCAGTGCTACTGGGGCCATACAGGACGGTGCACTTCCTAACCAGATAAATGACAAAAATGTCTCGCGCTTCAATGTTCAATGACCCAAAACTTCTCGATTCACACAGTGACTGGTGTTGAGATAGGTTTAACAATGTTCTACTGAGCTCGTATTATGGATTTCAATGGTTTTGATGCGATGTTTAGTCCTAATTTGGCAAAGCTTTCGTGAGGCCAAGAAAACATGGGCACCCTCAGTTTTGTTCTTCACTCTGCTCATTGTCAGTCAAAAATCAACATAGCTGTTGTTGGATTTGTGGAATGATGACGCTCATCGGCAGACAACTAGTTCATTGTTTTTGTGGTATGTTATAGTTGACAGTAACCGTTTGTTGTGTCCATGGAAAAGACGCAACAGTACAATCGATATCATACATGCTCTGTAGAGTAGAGTTTTTGCTATGTTACAGAAAAGATGAGTTTTCCTGCAAACTGCAACTGAGATTATGTTTTAAAAAATCCATGACAGATTGGAGAAAGCCAAGGCGCGACTAGGGTATGCAGGCGTCCACTGTAGAGCTACAACCATTAATCTACGATCAACATTTTATATGTTGTGGGCCAAACCAAGGAACCAAATCATAAAAAAATTGTGTCAGTGCACTTTTAACACTGTTCATTTGAAAAAAATGCCTCTGATGGACATTAAAACATATTTTTAAAAGTCTGATGAATCGATTATTTGACAAAATAATCGACTAATCTACATTAATTGCAGCCCTAATCCACTGTATGGCAAAGAACTCTGTTTAGCAGCGAACCATTACGAGCTGATTAGCTGTTAACGTCCACAGCTGTCAATAGCCACCCAGACGTTCTCTGCATTCTCTTGAGAGGTTTAGTACCCTGCTTCTTTTTCTGGTGTCAACTCAAATGAGCCTCGCCTGTCTGTCGGACCGTGACTGGAAACTTCCATCACGCCACTGTTTACTGGTTATCCCTGATGGCTAATTCTAGTTACTTCCTCCGCTAATATGGAGTTCCCAATTTCCTGGGAGTAGACATTTTAATTCCTCCTATAGGATATTGTTTAGGATCCTCGGTTGCCTTCATAGGTGCTACATAAAAATAAAAATAAAACTATTATTATTTATGATTATGGGACGTAAACTGATGTGTGAATTCCAGCATTAAAAATAAAAAACATAGCAAGAATTCAACATGATATTTGACCTTCCATACTGCATAAGCTGTTATTATTCAGTCATTGCTTTGGTGAAAGAGTGAGAGTCAACTAAAACAAGACCCCGGTGAGGGAGCAGCACGCGTGTGGCGACTTGTGTGAAGTCAATCTGTGTCCCAGGAGAGCAAAAGGTCACGACTCTTCTGTCCAGCTGGCTCCGGGCATCATGTGCATGTTTGTTGATCTGTTGTCTTGCGTTGTCACGTTCACGCTTTGAAAAGACCGGTTGAGAAAACTAATGAATGAAAATGTCACTCAAATAGATTGTCAACTCAGTCTTTGGCCAGATCACACATATTGTACTAGCAGATGGATTCACCATTAAATGTAAATGCACCTTTTTTTCTTTCTCAACAAGTTACACTTTTTTTTTTAATTTATAAGTTTAGAACTTCATGTGACAACATTTTAATACAAATATCTTCAGAAATTTATTAGATAAATTCTTGTAAAAATTTATTCTACTGCCAATAAAATATGATATAAGGAATGCAAGCCATAGAATAATTGAAAATATAAGAGTATTTACAGGAATTCTCTTCTCATACATACATTAACAATGAAATGAAGATAAACATTCAAACATGACTTAGTTCAGATGTCATATGAGCCCCGTTCACACGACAAGATTTACTCCGACGCTGCACCGACTCTACGCCAGTGGAGCGTTCACACGTTCATATTGTCTTCCAAATTGGGTGTTTCATTCATTTATAGGTGACGTCTGAGCATTGCAGTCACTTGTGCGTCAAGTTCATAGCCGTGACATTTAGAATGTGCTTAAATTAAATTTGCATTGATTGACAGTTGGATGTCAGTCTGCAACATGGTGGGATCTGTTGCTTCTTTTCCTGAAATGACAAAAATAGGCAATGTTAGGACTTTCACAAACCACTCAAAACCATTTTTTTAATAGTAAAAAAATGATGTAAAAATCAGTAGAGAATCTCGTACAATTTTTCATCCATCCGAGATGGAGGCCTACAGTCGTGTGTAAGTGTGTGTGTGTGTGTGTGTGTGTGTGTGTGGGCGTGTGTGTGTGTGTGTGTGTGTGTGTGTGTGTGTGTGGTGGCGGCGGCGAAGGATGCAAGGGGCGGTGAGAAAAGGCCGTGTGAGGATGATGAATGTGACATTCCCGGTGTTCCCAGGGTCTTGGTGTTATTTGAAATGTCTGCGAGGCGGGAGGGGGTGAGTGATTCGGCGAGTGGGTGGATGCTTTTGGGGTGCTAGAGGGTCAGTAGGGGGGAATTTGTGCACAGCTGTTGGGGGACCCAATGTCTCCCTTCTCTCTCTCTCTCTCTCTCTCTCTCTCTCTCTCTCTCTCTCTCTCTCTCTCTCTCTCTCTCTTTCTCCCTCAATGTGTGTTTGCGACAGGCTGTCCTTTTCAACAACACATAGTCAGGCCATCCAGCCCGCTGCCATAACAACGCCATGGTCCCTCTGTCATCTTAACGGCAAGAGTGGGGCGGGGTTCAAAAGGGGGAGGAGAAACAGAGAATGAAGAGTCCAGACACTTCTATCCTGTGAACTTGAACTTGACTGGCAGTCTGAGTCACTGGCGGGAAGGAATGGAAATGCATCCCTGAATGTTTTTTTTTTTTTACCCATCATGTAGAGTGGACCCCCGCTAGTGAAAATCCATCCACTTACACTTGACACCCATTATAATGCAATGGAAAAAAAATTAATAATAACAAAGACATATTGGAAAAACGGGGATACATTTCCAGTGATAAACTAAGCGTTATCAACGAAAATGAGGGTTGGCTCTCCACCCTAAAATGAAAAAAATATGAAAACAATATTTAAGAATCCGCCAATAGGTAATGACTTGGATGCTGAATGAGTTTGTGGTGGTTCACTGTAGTTTCAAATAAAGGTGACGATACAGGCCGACATTCTCAGATGCGCCTTGTGGTCAAAAACAAACTGTAATAAGATGAATTAAAACACTAATATATAAATATTAATTAGGATCAATAAAAGATCTTAAAAATTATATGCCCTTTTCATCCAACTATTGATAACATTCAATATTCTGCTCCTGTTATTAATGACGTGATTGACAACATCAACCCCCTTGACCATGGGGAAAAAAAAAGAGGTGTGAAAGGTCCGCCATCAGTGTTACAAAAACAAGAACAAACCAGAGTGGGGTAATCAGGTTTTTTCCCCGGATTAAGGCGGGATTGGAAGCTCCGGTTTCCTGTTGGGTGGACAGACAGATCGATTGCTTCCTTCCCCAACATGTCCATTCAAATCTGCAGCAATCCAGAGTCTCCCCTTGCCTGGGATGCACAGAACAACTACGTCTACCTCCTCCCCGACTGTCCCTTTCTCTTCTATAGTTCACATCCTGCCCATCTGTTGGGCACAACCACGAATTACATCAAACATAACACAGAAAATTTCAAATTTCAGCCTCACCACTCGATCTGACACTCAATCTTTCCACTTCTAGGACATTTTGAACTAAAACTTCCTGTAAGAGACGTCCACATACATTTTGGTGACGACTGATCGCAGATTTCTTACATTAAACAAAGCTGACCTTAAGCAGTGAGTGAGTGAGTGAGTGACTTAACTAGATTTTGACTTGGAGTAAAGGTGTGAATATAAAATCAGTGCTTTTATAGTTCCTTTTTTTGTTTTTTGTTTGTTTTTTGTTTCTGTCAAAGCTGACCTGTCAACTGGATTGTCTATTAATTGGGCTTATTTTCATCTTGTTCGAAAAATGTAGGGAGGCCTGGTGGTCCAGTGGTTAGCACATCGACCTCACAGAGCAGAGGTGCAGGGTTCGACTCCACCTCTCATTCATCAATAAGTGAAACAGGGGTTTTATTCCTGAAATGCATATTCAACATTATTCAATGTTTCAGTATGGACAATTATTTGGAACATTATCACTGCAAATTTAAGGGGGGAAAAACTACTTAAATAATGATTCAATTAAAATGTAGTGCACATAAAGAAGATACATTTTGAAGAATACAATGTGTACTTATAAGATTCAATACAATACAAATTGATTGTACTCTACTTAAAATTAAACTGGTGTTGTCTGGATCATGGTCCCCACCTCTTTACCCAGGTTTCCCTGTAGCCCTCTGCCTCTCTCTTTCTCTCTCTCACAGGACACACACACACACACACACACACACACACACACACACACACACACACACACACACACACACACACACACACACACACACGACTGTAGGCCTGCCTTTGTCAAGTGGCCTGCACACAAAGCCGCCATTGTGGCGCAAGGCCTCGTTCGGAATGGTAATGTGCACGAAGAAGCGCATGTTTACCAACAGGACCCCTGAATGAGGCAAAGCCAGGTTTGCGATGACTTCGACAGTGGTGAACGATTACAGCAGTTCATGGTACGATAAAAGTCACGTATGCTGTGTCTTTTCTGGGTCTAATTCACTGGTCACCACCCTATCTGAAATTGAATAATGTGAAGGGCTTCCGGTTTGATACGTATTTCTGAAATACTGTATCAAATTTGCTCAAATGACTTATGTTATTCTTAATGATAAATGATGTTCATCTACACTGTCTGTAAAGACTGGTCAATTCGAATCAATGATCCTCACAGTAATGATCCATGATGATTTAAAAAGGAAGAAACAGACAGATATGAAAATATTATTTCTATAAATCTCTGCAAGTGTCTGACTTCAAATGATCGTGTCGACATCATTCCGAGGAAATTACACCGCCTCATCACCAGTGAGCAATTTTTAAAACAGGCCCTTGGGAGTGACCCCTGCAACAGACGCATTTTATTTCCTGATGAAAGTCACTTACGCTGTATCCTTTCAGGGATTAATTCGAGGAACAATTTACATTCTGTTAAACATTCCCTTGGAATGTACCTGCCATAAAAGAATATGCTGAATGGATGGAAGGTTTTATGGAAAATAATTTAAACGTATGATTTCTGAAATATTATTGTATCAAAAAACAAGAGGCATATGAAGAAAATTGTGACAGCATTAACTGTGTAAAATTTGAGGGATCTTCTGGGCTTCATCGTTTCAATAGAACAGTGTCTAACTGTACAATTCAGTTAGTTTCTTTTAACTAACTAGTTTCTTCGGCACTACTTACCGAACTCTCTCTCGTTCGGTCTGAGAGAGAGACAGAGAGAGTTTGGTAAGTAGTGCACCATAAACAAAACAACAATACATGAGATTTTTCAAAATTGTGCCTTTACACAATTGGCGTTAAATGTAGTGTAGAACTGCACTGCAGACGAAAAAAAAATTACATCGTCCAACATATTTAATAGTAATGCTGGAGTCCCGTGCAAACTACAAATTGTGTCCGTAAATGTGAGCATTACAATCAATATGTATGTGTCGGTGTTGCTGTGCCTTTAAATATTCCGCTTCCTCATTTCTATGCAGTTATGTTAATGTGCTCTGCCGTTGTTTGCGCTCCATCTGCAGACGTGATAGTCGCGCTTTAAAAAAAAAATTTTTTTAGCAAAGTCAAAAGATCATTTATGTCTTTTTCTTTTCCTGGAAGCAAAAAAAAGATCGATGTAGAATTGTTATGTTGGGTATGTAGCGCTTTTTAAAAATTGAATTTAGGTGCATGTGCACAGATTCAACCTGAGGCACCCGCCCACATTTAGGCGAGTATGGAGCGCGTGAGCGTCCAGTATTTGTTTTGCGTTTTATCAAATTCCATTTTATCATTTTGATTTAATTCGCTCTAAGTGTGATGTGGGGATGACACTCTCAAGCTTTTTTTTAGGTCATGTACTCAAAAAAAAAAAAAATCCGTTTCAGATTCCTCCTCATATTTACCTTTGCTTTAAAACTCATCAAGAACATGTTTTTGAAATCATCCCAATCGGCACACTTTTCCGTTTGACACCATACCTATAATTTATGGAATCACAAACATTTAAAAAGTGCATAAAAATCGTTGCCCAGATGATCAGAAATACGTCATCTTAGTGCAGATTTTGGTTTCCCATTAAACCTACTACAATACAATAATTATGAAAACACTGATTAACATGATAGAACACGTTACGGTAAGAATGGTTTTGAAATGCATTTAATAATGCTACTAATAATAACAACAACAATAATAATCACAATAATAATAATAACAGATTATGTTAAATAGTAATAGTGTGAAGCAATTAACATTTACAGAATTGCCTTTATATGTGAAATGAAAGACATGAATGAAGAAAAATTGTGACAATTACAGATTTTTTTTATTTTTTTGTTATTTTTTAAGGTAAAAAAAAAATCACTTTTATTCTTCATTATAATTAAAAATAAGATATCCCCGTACTCTTAACAGAAACATGCATTTTATGTGTTTTATGAATATTACGTTTTGAATGATTATTAATATTTTGGGTAACTCGTGCATTTTTATATTTATATCTGTGTATTTAATGAGCATTTCATAAGTTTTGCTCAGCAGCGTTTAGTCTGTCAAGGTGACATTATTATGGGATGTATATGGTAAATGTACTAATATGCATGTGTCTATTTTTATTGTGATTTTGTCATTTAACTCTTCAGAAAACACTTTGAACTTTCACATTTTCACCATTTGAATAATTATCATAATTTCAGCATTTTGGTCTTTAGCTGATATTAATTAGCATGATATACTTTCCTTACATTGACTTTCATTTTACTTGACTTATAGGTGCAGCTTTACCAATTACTTGCTTCACCTATGAAACCTGACGGGTACTAATTGCATCATAATGAAGTTCATAGCAAATTCTAGGTTTGCTTCATCATCTCCTAAAGGGTTAAACGAGAGTGTAACCTGTGAGAGGCCTCAGTAAGGTGACCCCATAGTGAATCTCCACTTAGTGAGGTCACACTGCACACACGAGGCCTGAAAGACCGAATTGTGCCAATTAATGCTGCCTGCTTTTGCACGTCCACACCCATGCAGGCAAGCAGAATGTCAAGATGGCTGACGACATCATGCGAGCAGTGAACATACACGCGCTGCCTCAAACGGGCCACGAGGCCTTCATTTGTGTGCTTCCTTGCTTTGTCCGTATGTGGCTTGGAGTAGAAAAGAAGGAACATAAGATTGTCTCTGGCCATATTTTATTGTTCTGGGTGGGTGAAAAATAACTACAGGCATTAGACATTGCTGATAGAATTTTTAGCATCGCTGAATTCATGATGGAAATACATTTTCAATAGACAACACGAATGGGGATTTGTTATCATCTCACGTATCATTTGTTTCAGTATTGTCGTGGGAATGTGGTATGTATTGTATTACACCATTATGGAATACAATGTAATGTATGCAATGCCAAGTTCTTTTCACCCATTGTAGTGTCAAAAAAATCAAATTACCTTAAGCCTTTTTGACTCTGTCCTTTGTTTAGTAGTTTGTCTTAAGGTTACTATTATATTGCACCCTTAAAACTTGAGGGGTTGAAAAAAAAAATAACCCAATCTGGGTAAAAATTAACGTGTTCGTTTGTTTTTAAATCTGATAGTTTTTCCTGTCTTTTAAGTACTTTACCACCTAAAAACAACTTGGGTTTAACTTAAATAGACGCTGCTGAGACCCTACAGAAAATGGATGGATGGATGGAAAGGCATTCTGTAAAATGAAGAATACAATTTCTAGTCTTTCTGTATTACTTCACATACAGTAAATTGATTCAATGCACAAATCGTCCAAATTTAGTAATTTCAGTTGACGGAAACATAAGTGGAAGAAGGGCCGACTCAGACAGTTGTGAGTTTGGAACACTATGACTTGCACGAACACTGGTTGAGTTTTCAGATTAAAAAAAAAAAGGCTTTACAATTTCAACTCTTGAGAAGAGCCAAACTAAACTGATTCAGAACCAGTAGAGTGGTGAATGAATTCTGATGAGGCCCACTGAGTCTTCATGAAGTTTTTGTCAAATTAGTCAATCTACCTTCATATTTAAAAGAGCAAAACTTATGACGTGTAGACACCCAGAGAAAGCAAACCTACCTGATGAAGAGCAAGCACACTCTCTTGTCTTTCTTCTGCCTTCTTGTCTTACGAAGGTTTGAAAGTTATTCCTACTTTCGGTTATCTAGCTTTATGATGGATGTTTAACACTCATACAGCTAGATAACCAAAGACAGGAACAGGCTCTGTTCTTCTTTGCCACAGCACACAAGCGTGGTGCTCCTTCCTACATCGGGAACAGAACACACACAAAAAAGTTGCATTTCATTACAGGCATGTGTTTATCATTAAATTCAACAGGCCAAAAAAAAAAAACCCTTCCCATAGTCCAAATTTATGTTGCGGCATTACACTTTACAAAGTTGTTATAAATGCATATATTGTCTTAAAATAATGAGTGTGACCTATTTCGAGCATTTAGCACACACGTTTACAAGTGTAGGTTGTTGGCTGTCAAAAATAGAGAGAAAAACATTCGAATCATCTCAGCATATTGGGGCAACTGTTGTTTTCAATTTGATTTTTTTTAATGCCTGCATGAGTGCTTTTAAAATACGCTAAGCACTTTAAAAGTATACGAAGGCGTTGCATTGATTGCATGACTAGCAATATATCTATCGTAATCACGGAATAATATTTTTAAAATACACATTGAATAATTCACAATAATCATGGAATGTATTTGGGAAACAAGGCATGCATCACAAGGATAGAACTCGAGATATTATTTCTCAACACATTACAATAATAATCCATCAGATATCTATTTTCAAGACACAATTGTGTCTTCTGCAAGCAGGACTAATAGCTAGGTAACCCTTCAAGTGTTTGTTTTTTGTTTTTTTGTCCCTGGCTTTGATGGAAACGACGACAAAATGCATGCACAAACAAGTCGACATGCAGGAGCTGTAACTTACATCCATGCATCCGTACAAGATGTCCATCTGCCGCATGCTCTTCTTTCCACACCCACCTCATGTGCTCGTTGACAGAGAGCATCCTTCCGGTTCCAGGTGTGACAAGCAGGTGATCGGATCGATACGTGCGACCACATGCACTTAGTGGCCCGTGGACGGAAGCTCCAGGTCACTCCCGCTCTTTGTATCCGTCTCGTGGACTTCCAGACCCGCAAGAAGGGGACCGAGGAGGACGCGCTCTGTGGCCGAGAAGGCGCCCTCATTCCCGGGTGCTGAGCCTGCGCAGTGTCTCGCTCCCTGACGATGGAGCTTCCACTGCCTCCTGTCGCCTCCTCTCGTCCTCTTTTCGCCCCCCCCCCTCCTCCCCCAGGAACTCCTCCCCGTGCCCTCCTGACGTCACCGAGGGAAGTAACAGACGAGCCAATGAGAAAACGATTCTCCTCGTTTTGATACAGTATTTTGGTTGACATCCAGTGGAAGAGTTTTGATTCATAACTAAACATTTAGATCTTGTCCGAAGCAATAACTAGCGCGGTGACATTTAGACATCATAAGTTGAGGAAGACAGTTTAGTGTATTCATTTAAATGTAAAATCTAGATTTCTACAGGATGAATATTTGAACCTTTAAAAAGGACGGTTCGAAAGTGAAGTGAGGGTACTAAAACCGTAACTTGGGGTCTTGCAAAGATAAATTATCCTTTTTTTATCAGCATATATATCTCAAGTCAAAAGACTTCAACATGTGGATAAATAGCTGTTTTTGCGACATATTAAGAACAAGAGGTTCTTGTATACCCTAGCACAGCGGTCCCCAACCGCCGGTCCGCGGAACGGC